GGGTTTTAGGGTTTTAGAGCTTAGAGAGGGGTTTAGCATTTGAGCCCAGTGTCTTTCGAAGACCTGGGTACCTAGGCCACTGAACCGTGGCGTGTTAACCCTAGACGTTGGGCGCCGCCTGCATCCTAAACCTCAAACCGAAAGATGCACCCTAAACCCTAAACCCTAAACCCCCTAAACCCTAAACCCTAAACCCTAAACCCCCTAAACCCTAAACCCTAAACCCTAGCTACACCCCCAAACCGGACCCATGAATCTGTAGATATCTGACTCCAAGGTTCCACCTGAATACCCTGGCGAAGCATCCTCCCCGGTGGCCTGGTGAGACAGCCGACATCAACCGGAGAACAGCCCGCTCCTGTTCCTTTCGGACTAGAGTTGGGGGTTTCCAAAAATAGGGGACCCTACTATAGTACCCTAGATAATAGGATCCTTATTATAAGGACCCCAAAATAAGGTACCCTAATTGTCGGAAACTCCCAGTTGGTCCGGGGAGCCCGGCTTTCTCTTCCGGTCGGAGGCTTCGGATTTGAGGGAGGAGCAGTAGCGGAATCAAATATAGGGTTTAGGGGTTTAGGGTTTAGGGTTTAGGGTTTAGGGTAATCAAAATAGTTACCACGGTTGCCGTCCTACTGCTGCTACTGCTGCTGCTCCTGCTGACCGGGCCGAGGCGGATGCCGGGAAGAGTTTACAAACTCGTTTCCCTTGCCGAGGAGTACAACAGAGACCCTATATTTTTGGAGCCTTAACCGTAAAGGAACCCCGAAACCCTAAACCCTCCACCCTAGAAGGGGCTCTAAACCCCTGACCCTTAGAGGGACCCTATCATCGAACCCTACGGGATTTTGTTTAAAGGGGGCCCGGTTATAGAAGCCTACATAGCACCCTCAAAGGTGTCTACGTGGGAAGCTCCTCAAGGCGATCCGATCGCTTCAGCGTGACGAAGGTGAGGGTGCGGATGTGGATGTAGGCGGCCTACGACAGGACTGAGGGCTGAGGGTTTAGGGTTTGGAGTTTAGGGTGTTTTTGGGTTTAGGGTTTAGGGCTCGCTTCAGGGGGCTTTTAGGGTATCGCGGTACGGCTGTGAGAGTTGGCTTGCGGCCTTCAAAATCTCAGATTTGACGGTTTGGGGTTCTTCTAATGTAGGTGCGAATAGGGTCTTGGAGTGGGTTAAACTATTAGTTATACCAAGGCCGTAGCATGACCTTACTGAGCACTGCCACTGCACGGACGCTGTGACACAGCTGCGGCTCCATGTCCAGAAGTGTCTAGCTTAGAGTTTAAGGAAAACCTTACGACTGCCTCAGTGGCCCCTCCTAGTTTCAGGTGCCAGGCGAGGCGGGCCTTGATGTCCTCCATGGAAATTCCGTGGCTCGTCAAGGTGTACTGCTGCTCCTCGGTCCACACGGACTCGATCTTGTTGATGCAGTCTGCATCCGGGAAGGCGAAGCCATCGCAGTAGAGCGGGATGATGGGGATGCCGCTCTTCCGCGCACTCGTCATCTCCCCTGCACACCACATGCCTGGCCGCCCGGAGAGAAAGGACTGGACAACGTGGGGCAAAAGAGAAAATGAAAACAGAAACATGGAGGCGAAAAGGACTAGATGGCAGCACGGGTGCGCTGCAGCAGATCAGGCGTGAGCACGGCCACGAGGCAGCGGGTGTCGGAGCTGACGATCTCGAAGATGCGGGAGAGGTCGTCAAGTTCGTCGGAGTCCAGGAAGATGTTCATGCGGCCGTACTTGTGCACGATGAGCTTGATGAAGCGGCACAGGGCCCCAGCGCCTGCCTTGTGGTGGCATAGGAACATCGAGTACTTGCTTTGAGGACGAAGCCGGAAGCAAACTGCGGCCGATGCAGCGAGCAGCGCTGCAATAGGCAGAAGGAACATGACACAAGCCAAGAGGACTGCTACAAACTCCATGGCCTTCTGTTCATTCAGATTCAGCAAGGGGGATGCGAGGAGCAGCAGCATCAGCAGGCCAGCAGAAAGAACCATGTCGTTATAGTTGGCCACATCCACTCTCCAAGGCCAGAGGAGGCTCTGGGTGGTCAGCTTCACACAGACTACGATGCCCATGATGCCCACTTGCAGAGCGGGCACGGATACCAACGTAGCCGGGATAAGGGCCACCACAAGGTTGTGAAAGGAGAGCATGAGGCCGTAGTAGTAGCGTTCGGGTCGGAAGCGGCCGAAGAGGAACCTATACTTTTCCAGCACCTCCAGGCCACTGGATGATCGAAGCCAGATCGGGTACTTCCAAGTGAGAAAGCTGATTGCAGCAAGGATGGCAACCGGGTAGGCCAGAATACCAACACAGGCCAGGAGAATCAGAGCTATATGCTCTCCGGTGGTCCAGCAGATAACATCTGTCTTGGTCACAATCGTGGAAGTGCCGTTGGGGTTCTCCCGACATTGAAATGGTCGGAGGACGCTCAGAGACATAGCAGTCAAGAGGGCAATCAGGATGATCCCGTGGAAGTTGACGAAGTACGTGAAACTCACCCGCTTCCGTGTGAACCGAGCCATGGACCAGACAAGGAAGGTTCCCAGTAGCACCACAGGGTAGGCCAAAAGCTGCATGGTGTACTCCATCAAGTGGTTCCGTGGAGGAAGCACGCAGGAGAACTCAATGTCGAAGCTGAAGATCGAAAGCGACTGAAGGATGGCCTTCGCAGGATCCACCCAAAGAATGTCGAACTGGTAGATAGCCTCCAGAACGGCCCAGGGGCATAAGGGGGGCGGGGGGGGGTCTGTGTGGATTCACGCGTATCACTGGTTTCCAGCAGTCTAGTAACACCCTAGCAGTAAAGGAAGTAATGGATCGCAGGCGCTTCTGAGACCGGGAGCCGTTCATTGGGGGGGAAGGTGTTGCTTAGCAGCTGTGCCTCAAGCGACTGTAGACAAACCACCAACTGGCCGAAGACGAGGCAAACGACGAAGACACTGATCGCCACCTTCCGGGCTCTGCTGAGGACGATGCCTGCAAAAACAAGGAGCGGCACAACTGCGATGACCACGAGCGGCAAGAGGATGAAGGGCCAGAGCTGCAGTGCATCGCATGGCTGACAGCTCCCATCTGCTGCTGCAGCAAAGCCCTTGAAACAGTCCGCACAGGCACGACCTGCGCTTCGAAACCAGAGCAAGGTTGGTCGTCGGGGGGGTGTAGGGTAAGGAATCTAAGACGTGCCCAGAAAGCCCAAAGCCCCAAACTCTAGCCCAGCCCTAGCACCAAAACATTCCTACGACCTGAACCCCAACTCGTCACAATCCTAAAGCCCCCAAAAACCCTCAAGAGCGGATGCTACCCCCCAAACCCCCGCACACCCCGAATCCCAGGCTTCTCCCGCCTGTTCGACCCATGGCACAAGAGCCGGGAAGCCCTTCGGGACAGCGCAGCACATCCCGGCAGTAGTAGATGGAGTAGTCCCCTCCTCCCCAGCTTTTGAGTTCTTGAGGGCTTCGGGGGATTCTAGGGTCGAGGGCTTAGCATGGAGGGCTTAGGGTTTCAGGATTTTGGCGCTTGAGGTGGGGTGCCCCAAGTCAGGGTTTTTCATTTGAAGGGCTTACAGGCAGTGCTGAGGAAGGCGGCCCAGGTTTAGGGTTTAGGGTTTAGGGGTTCAGGGTTTAGGGTTTTAAGAGGTCAGAGACAGCGCAGAAAAGGGGAGGGCCCATTTTTGAAAGACCGGTGTGGGAGCTTCTTGTTTCAACCAATGAGAATCAAGATCCTCGGAGCCCTTAGCCGAAAACCCTAAACCTTAAACCCCTAAACCCCAAACCCTAAACCCCTAGCAAGCCTCACCCAAAGTCTAAAGCCTACAAACAACCCTCACCCGGCCTTCAAGCGCTTCTGCCCAGGTTCCCGCTCTTTGCAATGGTGGCATAAAGCTACCGTTGCAGATAAAGTCCTTGTTGGGATTGTATGTTTAGGGTCCCAAAGGCCTGCATAGACGCAAAGAGGTTTCCGCTTCAGGCGTCGAACTGACAAGTAAAACGGTCAAAATCGGGACCCTCACCGGAACTCTTCCCCAAGAGCACCCCTTGCGCAGTAAAGCCAAGGCGCGGCGGGGCATCCGATGCATCTCTGCTGCTCCCACTGCCAATACCTGAAAAGCGTCACAGACGCCGATGGAGAAGACAAGAACCGGCTGATGGTGACACTGGTAGTGGCGATGATGACCATGGTGACGAAGCTGATTACAGGGTTCTGACGCTCGTGCCGATACCGGTGCTAGTGCCGCTGATGTTGACGACGATAAGGGTAGCAGGACGAGGTGGTGGAGGAGGAGTCTAAGGAAGAGGACGAGGAGTAGGAGAAGGAGGCGGAGGCGGAGGAATGAACGTTTAAGGCTCTCTCCGTGGCCATCATGATGCCACATCGAGAACTGGCCACTCCAACCGGTCGCCGGGATGCTTCCTATAAGCCGGCTTTTGCCTTACTTATACTTAAATTTCACCGGCTCTGACTGTAAAATGGCCGCCGGGGGGGCCCTAAACCCGAACCCCTAAACCCCTAAACCCCTAAACCCCTAAACCCCTAAACCCCTAAACCCCTAAACCCTAAACCCCAAACCCTTAACTTCAAGGCTTTTGGGGTTCAACCGGCCGGAGGAGCCTCTGTCCCTTCAACTCTCCTGATGCTTGCGAGCCTCTCATCCGGCAGTTAAGGAGGGTTTATGGCTTAGGGTTTAGAGTTTAGGGCTTAGGGTTTAGGGTTTAAGGCTTAGGGCTTAGAGGTTAGGGATTAGGGTTTAGGGTTTAGGGTGTAGGGATTAGGGTTTAGGGTTTAGGGTTTAGGGATTAGGGTTTAGGGTTGAGGGCTTAGGGTTTAGGAGTTAAGGCTTTGGGCTTATGGGGTTTAGGGTTTACCGGGTTTAGGGTTTAGGAACCCCAGTCCGCAGGAGGTGGGCAAGATCAAAACACAGCATCTGGCCAAGACAGGCTAGGGGCGTATTGTCACTGCAGATGCAAGCGTTCTCTGTCGTCGCGCCCTTGATGCTTGTGTCCATGTTCTCCGGGCATTCGATGCACTCGCTTCTGCCAGTCGCATTCTGGTAAGAACCTGCGACAAGAGCAAGGCTGCTGTTGAGCTATGCGGGTTTGGTGAGAAATTGCAATCCAGGGCTGGTAGAGTCAGAACATCGGGCGCAAAACCCTATCCAAAATGACTAGGCTCCTCCGTCGAATGGTTGTTGTCAGGCAAAGGGAATTACAGCCATGCCAACCAACGCCAGAGAAGTCATATCATCAGTAGTACCAGTCTGTATTTCTCGACTGCCACTATTCTTAAACGAATATGATTAACAATAGTAGTAGTGGTCGTCGTCGTCGTAGTACCAGTGCCAGTGCGAGTACGAGTACGACTACTAGCACTAGTACTAACACTAATAGTAGTAGCAGGAGGAGGACGAGGAGAAGTAGTAGTAGTTGTTGTTGCTGCCGTAGCAGTGGCAGTAGCAGTAGTACTAGCAGTAGAGGTAGTACTAGTAGCAGCAGTAGTAGTAGTAGTAGTAGTAGTAGTAGTAGCAGCAGCAGCAGGCTTCAAACTGCATCTATCTGTAGCCCTACCTCGCAAGTGAAGCTTCAAGCGGGGCCTGAAGGCCTTTCCAGATCAGAACTGTCGCCGACCTTATCGCCAACCTCGAACCCTATATCCGGAAACTCTCAGAGCTCTCACCCAAGACCCCCCAAACCCGACAGCTGCAGAACCTCAAAACCCAAGAATCCCAAAACCTAAAAGCCTTAGTTAGAAATCTTCAACACCCCGCCACACCCTAAACCGCCTCAACCCTATCTATTCCAAGCCGTGGCACCGATTGGGCATTTCGTGCACTCCGTCTGTCCGAAGGTCTGAGAGATGGTACCCGCCGGGCATTCGGCGCAGGACTGCGCTGAGAAGGATGACTGCTTGCGGCCCGGACTGCACAAGCCTTATTCTGCGGAGGCCTGGGGTTTGGGGTTTAGGGTTTTGGGTTTTGGGTTTAGGGTGTAGGGTTTAGGGTTTGGGGTGTCTGGGTTTGGGGCGTAGGGTCTTTTAGGGTAGGGTGTAGGGTTTTAGGGCTTAGGATGGTTTGGGGTTGAGCTGGATTGGGAACAAGAGTAAACAAGCAAGCACCAGGAGGGAACTGGGGTATGACCCGCAACACGAAATAGGAAACTCGAAACCCTTCCTCTTAAGCTTAAGCTCTTGCTTCCGGGGTTGGGGTGCCGGGGTTGTGTCCGGCTTGGCGAATGAAGCTTTCGACACAGGGGCTAAGGTTTCTCCCCAATGCGGCTTGACAACGGCCGAAGCAATACCTTAAATTGAAATCCTTACATAAGCTTAAGCTGTCATCTGCCACGAAGGCCCTTTGTGCCTCCTTCTGAGTCCAAGCAGACAGGGCTATGGCTTGACCAAGCTTGACTTCTTGGGTTGGGGCCTTAAAACTTTAAAGCGTTTTCGGCTAGAGGCTGGACATGTCGGGCTTCGTGCTGAGTTTGCTGGAGTGGCTGACCTGTGCCACCCTTGACCAGCTTCTCAATCTTCAGCACCTGCAACACCCTGATCCCAAGACCCCTCAAACTCTTGAAGCCCAGGAAGCCCGGACTCTAAACCGTACCCATCACACCGACAGCCCTCTGCACTGCAAGCATGCGACGACAAACTGCCGTGTCCAAGCCGGTTGCGTCCGTGACCATCCTTAGCACAAACGTGCGTTCTCCGAAGCTACTCTTGTTGTAGTCGCAGTCGGAGTAAGAACAGGAGGAGTCGGAGCAGGAGTTTCATAGGTACTACTACGACTACCACTCCTACTACTACTACTACTACTACTACTACTACCACTACTACTACTACTACTATCACCAGTAACAGTACCAGCTACTAGTTCTGGTAATCGTCACATAGCAGTCGTAATAGTCATCCGCACACTTAAACCATCTAAACAGGAACTCTAAACCCTGCCCTCTGAAACAACGCCAAGATGCACCGACGTGTACCCAGGCTCACACGGTCGGCAAACAGCACCCACCTCCAGTGTCATCCATGTAGGGTTTCGAGTTTAAGGTTTAGGGTTTAGGGGTGTAGGGTGTAGGGTTTAGGGTTTAAGGTTTAGGGTTTAGGGTCACCGCCATTGCTAGGTGTCGATTTCAACAGTCGCCAAGTGTTTTTATAATTAGGACACTTTATTCAGCGGAGGGGTGCAAAACCAACACTAATCATCCTAGATCCATGTTCCAACTTTCTGGAGTTCACTGTATGATGGTCAGAACCAACGTGGATGCCACAGTCAGCATTGCTGCGGGGGCGTATGCCTTGAGCTTTATGGTAGTATTAACGGAAAAAGGGGCTCTGTGCTGGAACATGTGGCAGGACAGTGAGCAGAAATAGATAGATTCAGCAGCAAACAGATGGTAGCCACCGCGGCGATAGCAATAGCCATCGTACCAGCAGTCGTGGGTCCGTAGAAGTTCGAGAAACCACGGTCAGAACCATCAGCATCATTGTCCCAACCGACACCCAAGCTTCGTGCATCCCAAACCCCGCATCCTCCCTCCCTGGAACCATGACAACGGCAGCCAGCATCTCGTTAATCCACAGGCAAAACTGCGGATGACGCCTGCCGCCTCTCCAGCCATTGGTTGTCCGCGACCTTGACTGCGGCGATGTGAGGTTCCAGGGTCGGGGATTGCGGATAGAGCAAGCTGAATCTTGAGGATCAGGTGTGCTGCACTTACAGGGGAGTTGAAAAAGCTCAGAGTGTTAACCTCACCTGAACCAACATGCAGTTCAGGGTATGTGTAAAGCTGCAAACTGCCCCAAACCTCTCAACCGTAAACACAAAGCCCAACTCTAAGCTCTTATACGCCCTGACATGCAAACTATAAACCTTATATGCTCATATGTGTATATATATATA